TTATTTTAGATCAAAGATATTATGAGTGAGAAATACCTCCCAATAATCCACAACATCTGAACATACATTAATTCATGTACAAATCATATTGAGTCTGCATTAGGACTCCATTGCCAATTTGGTGCATCATACCAAAATAATTCAATGTTTACAAACTAGGTGCAAAACACATCCCTTTACAATGCTTCAAAAAATAATAATACAGCCTTTCTACAAGTAGAAGTCCAATCCTTCTACCTGAATCTAGTGGATAAAGAAATAAATAGACACGTCGCACTTCCTTTATATTCAAGGAATTATTTTGGAACACTATAAATAAATAATAAAACTAAAAAATTCACGAGCAACTCATAAATGCCCGTGCTGCTTCCATCCATTCACATGTATAGCACATAATGGTCATTGAATGGATGATAACCATGCTCACCACTTATGGGAATGGGTATTTGGTCTAAAGGCCAATTTTTGGATTTAACAAATTTATAGACACCTAAATTAAATTCTAGAATATTTAAAATTTCAAAACTAATTTTAAAATTAATTTGCAACATCTTTTTTTTTGAAAGGTAAAATTAATTTTCAACATCTTGTTTACTAGTTACGATCTTTTTTAAACATTGTTGGTGCAAGTAAGGTGAAAAAAAATTCCAAACTATAGTTTGGGCAAAAAAATTTATGAATAGAACTTGGACTTAAATCATTCTTAAAATGGATATAACAAGCAACAGTTCATTGAAAAAGAATTTCCAAGTTCGATGGAATTATAGAGAAAATTATATAGTAACCCTAACGACAGTTCTTTGACACATTAGGTCCACAAGATAATTCGTGTTTTAACTAGTTACTCCTTAGGTCTAAGTTCAATCCCCTCAACAAGAAGCCCCCTCTCAGATGCTCACCTCAACCTCTTTTAGGCTCATTTTCACCTCTCTTTCACTTCCATCGTTGTAGAATTCACCCAGTTCAATCTCTAACCATCCGTCTTCTCGCTCACAATGAACTTGCTCTTCCCCTACGGAAACACTGGTTCGCAATGCTTCAATCCCACTCGGAATAAGATTGCTCTCCAGTGATCGTTTGCAGCAATTATTTTTCCGCAGATATATTAACCCTCGTGATCGGTAGTCTCCAACTTCAACTGACACCTCGGAAGGGAGGGAGTCTAGCCCATAAGCACGATCAGCAATTTTTACAATGAGGCAGGCTACATAAACTGTATTTGGTGACAACATCCGGGTGTTTATCTTTCCATAAATCTCTAGCCAACAAACCATTTTGAGCTCAGCAACTTCAGGGAATCTGTTGGAATTGACAAGGAAAACGCAGGATTTTATTTATCCATAAGACCCTCAATCCGATTTAATCCACATAACTACTATTGATAACTTAATTTTAACTTAAGTTAATGCAATTCGAATTGAAATTTGAACTTGGGTTCCAATAAATTTCATTACGGGTTTATATTTGAATTCTAAAGTTACAAAACTCGAGTTGAAATTTAAGCATCTTAATAATTTGGGTTAAAATCTGGAAAAGTTGAAATTCCAATTCAAATACTATCCAAGTTTAACTCAAGTTAGATTTTATTGTCAAAATCCAATTCGAGTAATGGAAATCTTTGTCGAAATACTGGATCTCTGGTTTGTCTTGCCCAAGTTGTATCATAAGGCCAACTCAAATAAATTCAATACAAAATGATCGAACATTAATTTGTTTGTTTGGAAGAAATGCAAACCTCGATTGCAGGAGGGGCTTCCAACTCCAACTAAGAGGATTGTTTGCCCATGTGATTGAAAGCTCCCTTGCACTTAATATGTAACATTTTTTACTCGTCAACTTGTCAATTGAGAATGTCTGCTTCAAGGAACAAATGAATCCGTACCAGTACCAGTTTGTGCATCAATAATGCATGAAGCTAAAAATTTCTTTTTAGTTGCGTGGAACAGATGTAACATGGTGAAAACAGGATGAACTAAAATTAAACGGCTTAATTGAGTGTACCAAATAATTTTATGCAAGTAGTTTGTGGGTAATTATTATGCAGTTAACACTAATGTTGTAGCCATTAATAAAAAAGACACGTGATTGAGACGATTTTCTTGTTACAAAAGAAAAAAATATAAAGCAACCGGCGCCATCTCTCCACTCTTTCATGCTTTAGTTTGACACCCTTAGTTTTTCATGGCCTCGCTAATATTATGAGGAATTGAAAGAGCAAGAGATGAACTCGATGAGGTTACCTTATTACCCCCATCAATGAGAAGAGGACTCGAGAGCTTGAGAAACAACTCTTTTTTGGATGTAAATGCCACAGGAAAACAAGTCTTGACATAATTTCCCGATAATCGGGTGGCAGAAATTTCTCCCACAAGACATCTGATTTAGCGAAATCCCGAATCTCTAATGAGATGAGCGACGCTTGACATGCATCTCGAGGAGACAGACAAGAGAGGACATGAACTATACACTCTTCCGGCAAGAGATCAAGCTTCATCTCTTTCGCGTACAATTTTTTTCTTTTTTCTTGCTGGGCTATCATGTAAAGTTGAACAATAAACTAGATATAAATATATTTTTTTATTTTCTGATCTATATTTGTTGATCACTGTTCTTCACTATTATAATATTAAATAGTATTTCTTAACAAAATACTTAGAAGTGAAGGAAAGACGGAAATAAAAAAATTGTAAAAAAAAGGAAAGGCGGACTTATATGCACCAATTTATTTATTATCAGCTAATTTCCTCATAAAAAATGTGTCGACATACATATGGAAGGAAAGGGACACATTATGTAGACAACTCTCGTGGGTTTTAAATAACTCCAAGAGATGTCCTTGTAGTTGGATTAAGATCCCCTCCGATTCTCTTTTCTTACAATATTTTTTAGACAGATCATCAATTATTAATAAGTGATGGGTTCACTTACATACAATAGAATCTCACTTAAATGCATGGTAGGTAATTAGACAAGAAAATATTGAAGAATATATATATATAAAGAGATCTCAATCCCTTATAGCTTTTGATGATACCAAGGATAAATTCGTTGAAATTTGACCCAAACCTTATAATTTTCATGAAGAAGAGTTTGTTGGATAATCAATGTGAGAATTTTGAATGTAATAGGAAACATATTGGAAGAGTCTTAATAAACCATGACTTGAAAGGAAACATAGAGATTTGACACTAACCATGACTTGGTTTATAGTATTTTATCCCGATAAATAGGATTGAGTATTATGTAATCAATTATTAGATGATCAATTTTTCAATGAATAATATATCGATTTAGGTTTTTGGTCCACAGATATAGATACAACGTATTAGGACGGTATGCTTTATCAAACCACATTATATCTGATGACGCACAAAAGTTGATTTATGCACCACTTATCGATTGTATATGTTGATTAATCAATGAAGAAATCAATAAATAGAGATTAGATCAACACAAGCAACACACAAATGTATAGTAGTTCGGTCACCTACTCCACTTCGAAGGCGGCAATGGTGGCCGATAGTCTTTATTGATGAAGTAGTAGGTGAGAGAGAGATAACTATGTAAGGTGTGTAGAGAGATGTCCCTCTTTTATGGAGAGAGCTTACAATTTATAAGCACGGAGCTTTGGTTGAGGTGGTGGCGTGATGTGACAGGTGACTAATCATTTGGAAAGGATAGCTATAGCTAAGGATAGAAACAATTGAAAATGGTCTCGATCTTCAAGTGACGGTCATCCCGACAATTACTCCTCACGTGCGCTAATAATCCTGGAATCCTTGAACCTTGAATTGGGCTTAATCTGCTTTGTAGCTGATTTAGGCTTACTTAATTAATTGGGCATGATCCAATTGAATCTGGGCTCATCATTTGCCCCCCATGCCGCAAGCCCCAATTGTAACACAGGGGGTTGAGGGCATGAGTGAGCCTCTAGATAGATATGGGTTCCTTGTTTCCCACTATAGTTTTTAGTTTCTCATTTTTGTCTGCAAAAAATTCTTTCCTCACTTAGTATCACCATTGCTGGGTACCATTGTAATTACTAGTATCCTTTCTTCCTCTTCCTAACAAAGAATCATCCTTCTAGGGCTTCCAAAGGTAAATATAGCTAAACCCAGTATCTACTCCCTTTTATTACCTCTTGATTGGGCTTAAATACTCCTCTTTTCGTTCACCCTTATTGATTACAGGGTAAAGTAAACTATGGAGACCAGAGGGAGGCAGATTGGATCGAGTAAAGTAGTTGGAGATGCTATGATGAGATCAAAAACACTAGGGCCTGTCTTAACTGATGCCTCGGCGAGACTTGGTGAGATCCTTGGAGACTCCAAGGCCTAGGAGAGAAAGGAGCAATGGACACGAGCTCTATAGCGCCATGGCAGTTGGTGGCCCCTTCTGCGCAAACGGAGGATCTAAGTTGTGCCGGTGCATTGAACCAATCATTGGGTAGCGCCAGCCAGTTGCTGGGTGACACCAGTGCTCAGAGCTTCCTTGATTTGGATGAGACTCTCTATAGCGGTGCCAGAGGAAAGATAAGAGGCATAAATGGCGATGTGGAAGCACCAGGCAATACCAGCGCATCAGCCCAAGTGCTAGGCGACACCAACAAGCTGCTAGGTGGTGCCAATGTTTTGGGCAGCGTTATGAGGACGATGGGCAGCAACGACTTAGGCTTGGGGGATGCCAGTCCTATCTCCAGGGGTTTTGGTAGCACCAATCTAGCAATGAAGACCTTGGGATCAACCCAGACAGATGGTGCTAGAAGGCAGATGGAACTGGAAGGCAAGAGGCGAGGCAGGGAGAGAGGCAGGCAACACCTTGGCATAGGCGAGGAGGTTGGGTGAACAGCTGGGTGCTTAGGTGATGCCAGCAATCTACCTAGGCAATGCCAGCTAGCTAGCCTAAGTGACGCCAGCCAGCCTGTTGGGCCACGCCAATCAACCCAGGCACTTGCGCTGATAGGCACAGACATTGAGGGGAATGGCACGACGATATGGGCAACGTCATTGGTGTTCTAGATGACACCTTGGAGTAGGAGGTGTGAAGACCCTGCCCCATTACCGGGACCCTGTCTTCCAAGGGTTAACCTCCCATTACCGGGATATCACCACCCTCCACCAAAGGATTTCGGCTAACCTGTGGGTCAAACCCCCACAGTAGCCTTTACCTCTGTCCCACATCGGGGAAAGAGTCGTCTCCCCACCCCCATATAAGCCGAAGCACCATATGAGAGCAGTACCCAAGTACCACACTGTGGTACTTGGGTACTGCTCTCATATGGTGCTTCGGCTTATATGGGGGTGGGGAGACGACTCTTTCCCCGATGTGGGACAGAGGTAAAGGCTACTGTGGGGGTTTGACCCACAGGTTAGCCGAAATCCTTTGGTGGAGGGTGGTGATATCCCGGTAATGGGAGGTTAACCCTTGGAAGACAGGGTCCCGGTAATGGGGCAGGGTCTTCACATAAAAGGCGCCTTTTGTGTGAAGACTCCTCCCATTACCGGGATGTAGGTCTTCCAAGAGCATTACCGCCCTCCACCAAAGGATTTCGGCTAAAGCAGGACTCGCCCCACAGTAGCCTTTACCTCTGTCCCACATCGGGGAAAGAGTCGTCTCCCCACCCCCATATAAGCCGAAGCACCATATGAGAGCAGTACCCAAGTAGCACACTGTGGTACTTGGGTACTGCTTCCATATTGTGCTTCGGCTTATATGGGGGTGGGGAGACGACTCTTTCCCCGATGTGGGACGGAGGTAAAGGCTACTGTGGGGGTTTGACCCACAGGTTAGCCGAAATCCTTTGGTGGAGGGTGGTGATATCCCGGTAATGGGAGGTTAACCCTTGGAAGACAGGGTCCCGGTAATGGGACAGGGTCTTCACACAAAAGGCGCCTTTTATGTGAGGGATCTACCTCCCCATTACCGGGGATATACCTCCCTCCAAGAGCATTCCTCCCATTACCGGGATATCCCGCTCGCCATCAAAGGATTTCGGCTGACCTGCGGGGCAAACCCCCGCAGTAGCCTTTACCTCTGTCCCACATCGGGGAAAGAGTCGTCTCCCCACCCCCATATAAGCCGAAGCACCATATGAGAGCAGTACCCAAGTACCACAGTGTGCTACTTGGGTACTGCTTCCATATTGTGCTTCGGCTTATATGGGGGTGGGGAGACGACTCTTTCCCCGATGTGGGACGGAGGTAAAGGCTACTGTGGGGGTTTGACCCACAGGTTAGCCGAAATCCTTTGGTGGAGGGTGGTGATATCCCGGTAATGGGAGGTTAACCCTTGGAAGACAGGGTCCCGGTAATGGGACAGGGTCTTCACACAAAAGGCGCCTTTTATGTGAAGACCCTGGTCCATTACCGGACCCCTGTCTTCCAAGGGTTAACCTCCCATTACCGGGATATCACCACCCTCCACCAAAGGATTTCGGCTAACCTGTGGGTCAAACCCCCACAGTAGCCTTTACCTCCGTCCCACATCGGGGAAAGAGTCGTCTCCCCACCCCCATATAAGCCGAAGCACCATATGAGAGCAGTACCCAAGTACCACAGTGTGCTACTTGGGTACTGCTTCCATATTGTGCTTCGGCTTATATGGGGGGGGGAGACGACTCTTTCCCCGATGTGGGACGGAGGTAAAGGCTACTGTGGGGGTTTGACCCACAGGTTAGCCGAAATCCTTTGGTGGAGGGTGGTGATATCCCGGTAATGGGAGGTTAACCCTTGGAAGACAGGGTCCCGGTAATGGGACAGGGTCTTCACAGGAGGGGCTGGTATTTGTGTAGGGTCTTTTGCTGGAGCTGTTACTACTGGCAATGAGATGCTGGGCGCTAGCACTGGCACCAGGTGGAGTACTAGAAAAGCATAAAGAAATGGAAAACCTTTGAATAACTATAACTTTGCGCTCGGTTGTCTGTTTGAGGCAATTTTTTTTGAATCCGAGTATTTTTTTTCGAGATCTACAACATACAAATAGTCGAAGGCAATTTGAGCACCAAATTTCCCAAAAAATGCTTCTTTCTCACTAAATTTGAACTTTAACCACAAATTAATGAAAAAGTATATTTTGCACGTGTCTACTTTTTGTATACCCAACTCCGTGAGGACTCCGCTCTCCTTGCTTTGACGACATCCTCAATATGTGGATCTACTGGTTCTAGTTAACTAGATGTTGCATAGGCTCCAATAGTTGTTGGGATTCCGGGGCAGGGTTTACTGATGGTGATGGGACCTCGTCATGGTGTCGCAGATCATCCCAAAGCCTCCACTAGGTCAAAGATGAAAGGTATTGGATCCTTTCAGTACACTTTGATACTTGTGATACTATAGGTTCTTTTTCTTATCCCAATTTCACATATACCACTATTGATAAAGCAATAGCGGAGGCTCTTTATGCTTCCATGGCAGCACATTCCCCTCCTTCTAAGAGGGAAAAATTTGATGCCTTCAACGATTATCGACTGACGTCTAATTGCCAAGTTGCCTCCAAGGAGTTGAGACCCAGTGGTGCCCCTTTTCCCTCCCTAGTTGTGACTCCTTGGCATTCTAGAGCTAGTTTTAGTACCGCTGTAGGAGTTGAGACTCTAGTGTGGTATTCTATGGGTACTGGAGCTCCACTTAGCTACTATGCTTCTAGTAGTGGCTCTAAGTCCATGTTGCATGACGTGAATTTGGCCAAGGAGCAACTTTAGAGGTTTGTGACTCTAGGGGATATTAGAGAGGATGGCTCTTCGAGGTCCAAAAGACATTAATACTGCGACGGAGGGATTTGCCATGGTACTTAACTTGGATTTTGTATTTGCCTCATTTCCTTCATATTCTACTTTTTGGATGCTTGTAAGTGGTTGCCGCTTTTTCCTGCCTTTTTTCAAGAACAATCAAGCTTGGAGAGACATCCAGGGATATGGCAAAAGAGAGACGAGCATGAAAGGCTGCTGAGGAGTAGTTGAGGTTGGCTCATGAAAGAGTAATACCTCTTGAGATCAAGCTTTTGGCGACTCGTGAGAAAGGCTCTAAGCTGGAGATTAAGGTTGCTTGAGAGCAAAGGTAGGATTAGGCCAAACATTTTGGCAACTCATGAGAGAGCGCTAAGTTGGATACTAATAAGGAGACTGTCTCTACGAGAGTAGAGTCAAAGCTACAAGTGTCCCACAAGAGGGTCATATGAGTTAAAGTCGAGCTATGTATAACAAGAGAGAGGGATGTTGTGGCAGAGGCTGACCTACAAGTAGCTCGTGAGAGAGCCACCAAGGAAGGTGCTTATTCAATTGAGATGGGATGAGGAGTGAGGATGCTGAAAGCGCCCTTATTGATATTTATAAGGAGCTTAGTAGCTTTCCCTGGTATTGATTTCTTTGACTTTGTCCTATATAAGACATCAGGGACAGATGGTAACGACTTTCATCTTTTTGTCTACCTTGTTGTTAGGTCTTGTTCTGACTTTTGTAAGTTGTTTACAAACTTTATGAAATTAAAGCAAGACAGTTTTGAACACAATAATCTTGGTAAATTTTTATTTCATAAAATAATAAATAACAAAATAAATCAAATGAAACAATAAAGGACAAATAAAATGAGAACCTCCAGCTTGTACCGCTATTGATAATAGCTCTTCAGGTGTTTGGCATCCCATAGGTGGGCCAAGGCTTCCTTGTTCCTAGTGTCCTGTCATCCCTAGGGTTGAACACTTTCACTTAGAGGGCCTCTTGGGGTTTCTTGGTCCTCATAGAGGCCATGTAACATTATTTGGCGGCGACTTGGTCTCCTATGTAAAACTCGAATAAAGTTGAAATTTTACAAAAAATGGCAAAATAGTAATTTTTTATTTTAGTACAAGTTGAAAATTAAATTTTTCTAGAACACAGAAGACAAAATGGACCTCACCGTTGGATTTGTCTCGCGAAATCTAGCTACCCAAATAAATTTCGTCAAATTTTGATATAGCCATTTTTTTTACGTTTTACGAGGCAGTCGGGTCCTAGGTGACCCAAAAAATAAAATTTTTAATAAAATTTTAAAATATAGAAAATAATTTAAAGCAATTTGAAATAAAAATATTTGAACTTTAATCGGAGCTAAATTTAGTCATTTCGGGGCGAAAACTGATTCAAGAAAGGAGGACGTGGGGCGTGTTGTGGACCAAGCAATTAAAGACTATAAATAGGGGGAGAAAATTAGATTTCTCCCCTATTCATCAGCTAGATCTTTGCATTGGAAGAGAAGAGAGGGAAAAGAGAAAGAAAAAAAGAGAGATTTCAAGACTTTTCTCTACGTTCTACACCTTTCCGTCGCTCGAACCAACTCGAGCCAAGAACTAAAGTCCATCTCCCTGACAAGGGCTACGCAACCGTCTCAAAAAAGGAGGAATTTCACTGAAGAAAAAAAAATGAGATTTTGGGAAGGCTTGGATTAGGGGTTGGGTTGAATTCTTGAAGCTTCCTACATTGATTTTACGCTTCAAGAGGTAAAGTTTTCTTCTTACTTAGATTTATTCCCAACTTAGGCTTGAAATATGAAATGGGTAGGTTGTTAGATGTACTTTAACATTTGACTATTGTTGTTGATTTGGTGAAATGAGTATTGGAAATGGGTAGAATAAATTCTATCTTAAATTGGGTATGTAGAAATTGCTTAATGTAATTCCTTGAGAAATGTGGAACTTTGGGCATGTTATGTGTTTACTTGAGTGGTGCGTTAAAGTTGTTTCATAAAATGCCTTGAATGATTGAAGTTGTTGTTTTGATGAAATTGAAATAACATGCTTGGATGATGTGGTAAATTGAAATCACATGCTTATGATATGATTTACAATTGAAAATTTAAATGTTGATATGTACTTGTGATATATTGGCATTGTGATGATTTGTGGAGATTATATGCTTATGATGTAATTATCCATGGTATGTGTTGAAATGTGGTAGAAATAATCCATATGGCATTCATTACATATGGATATGATATTGATATTGCAATTGGACATTTCATTGCATTTGCACGGAGGCATC